GAATAAGTATTTCTTTAGACAAGAAACATCTGTATGAACACAGAAAAAAAAATCCATAAAACAACAACCTATTAGGTGGTCAAAAACATCTAAAAAAGCAACTGACATCCATCTTTTTTCTAAATATTCACTCTGTAAAAAACTTTCAATATATAGTGACTACCTACTTAACTACATATAATTGTGGTTTACAATATATATTTATGAACATGTCATGGCTGGATGTAAAATATGTATATTCTTGAAAATACTGAGTATAGAGTAAATGCTGCCAATTGTTATAAATCTAGAAGTAGTTTCTGACCATCTCTAATGTGTTTGCAACTGAATTAGAGAAAATGAACAAAAGATTTCTAAGTCAGACGTATTGAGATTTAAAACAAGCCAGCACCTAGCAAAGTGCCCAGAAGAGCCTAGGAAGGGATTAGCTGAATGAAGCATGCCACTCAATGGCATTCCTGGTAGAGAAAAAAAACAATGGCAGCTACAACAAGGATAGTTTCACTTTAACTACAAATAGACTTAACGGTGCCCTGACACTTTTTGTTTGTTTGTCTTGAGAAAAGCTACATCTTGTTTCCTAAAAGCTAGAACAGGAGTGAGTGGATCTTAGAGAAGAGGACTGAGGGGGTAAGCATGTAACATCAAGTCACACTCTTGCCTCACCAAGAAACACAACCTCATAGAAAAGCTGAACCTCTGGGTCATCATGGTCATGGGTTTCTCCACTGCAATCTCAGGCTAATTCCTGTGCAAAAACAAATCTGCAATCCAGAATTCTGCTTGCACACAGATTCACACAATCCCGAAGGCAGCAGCTAGCCCTGTACCTGAATCTTCAGTTGGCTCTATGGAGGCAAGTGTGAATACAGTCCACCTCTCTTCATACCTCTGCCAATATGCTCTGTTGATCAAGGTCTACCCTTCTGATAACATAGACACAGATGAAATAAGTTCAGATCTAACTCCAAGAGTGAAAAGTGGAACTATGCACTGTAGACAAAGAGGAGTAGAGATCCTTGGGCACAAGGAACATTCAACTCTTACTTTAAGCATGGACATAAAAAGATTTCTAGAAGGCCCTTTACCCCACAGTTTATTTAACCTAAAACATCTCTCCATCATTTAATTTCTCATACCCAAGCCCACATTATAGCCCACTCTCCCAAACATCTAAAGATACACACCCAACTATACAAGCTTTCAAGAACCACACAATCAAACATGATGGGAAGCAGGTACTCCCAAGATTGCCTGGCATACTTTAAAGGACACGTTAATACTCATGCATACGCCTGTGTCCACACTTTTCCTATCAAACAGCAGCCAACAAGCAAACTGTAGGTAGCCTACTCCACAGTCATACCTGTAAGCAAGAGGGGCTCAGTTTTAAATAATTATGTCCAAGAAATGACAACTGTGCTCTCTGCCAGAATAAGGATGGATAAATACAGAGAGGGAACATAATTAAGCAATTCTGACTCTTGAGGCTTCAGCTGCTTCTCTAATATGCGGCACCTGTGTGACCACCACCCAAGCCCTTCTGGATAGGCCTCTGCACCACTTTGATCTGTATGTTCCAGTGCCATGAAAGGTCACGGTCTGGTCATTACAGGAGCCTTTCATTGGGGGTAGGGTGACCTCCAGCTGCTTCATCTCCAGTTTGATACTTTCTGTGTTGACAATGGTATGATTCAATGGCCAATATTGGGGGAAAATATATTTTTTTTCCTTTAAGATACTGGGAAATGAGTGAAACCCAGCAGCTGAAGGTCCATTCAGTCAACACATCACATGTGCAGGACCTGGAAGGTTCCATTGTAACATCAGCTATCATTTCCCAATGAACAACAGTATCTTTCTGTGGAATAATCAGAATTCAGACAGAAGGCAGCTTTTAAACAGAAGCCAAAAGGCAGCAATGGAGTGGAAGTGTGTCACCAGGAGAGAAAAGGAGAGAGAACTCACTCCAGCACCGGGGCCTGCCAGCTACCAAATCAAACCTTTGATGCAGGGGGTTTATTAGCTCCTGGATGATTTTTGCATTTACATCGGCTGGGAACACGCAGACTGGCCTGTTCCCTACCTCCGAGGCAAGGGCTGTGATGAGAGAGGCATTTGCCATGCTCCCAAATATTTTATGCCAGGAATAAAATGAAAACAGCCCCCCAAATCATGGCCCCCTTGATGATCTGTCACAGCATTCTGCTGAGTAAGCACAACAACCCATAGCCGCCTTGGAAAGGACAGAAGCAGACCTGAGATGCTGATTGTATTATGAAAAATAGACTTCAGCAAGCGTGCTCAGCACCACGCTGGCAACTTGCAGGAAGGAAGCTGCTCTCCACTTAGAAGCTGACTCCAGGCGTACACATACCTCCCAAAACATGCAAATGTATATACATACACAGAGAGAAAGTGTACACACCTGCATGGAAACAAACATATGTCTGTGCAACTGGTAGCCAGGAGAGAACCGGCCTTTTTGATGCCAAATGTATCAACAAGGGGCCCATTCTGGTCTCCTTCTATCAGCAAAAAAAAGTGCCCAGGCCTATTTCAGAAAAGAACAAGGGGGTTGACTGCACACACTTCACAAAACCGAGAAACACAGGAATCTCTCACGTTCCTGAAAGATTGTGACCTACATGGAATTCCTATCTAAAGATGAGACCCTTGGGTGCTGGTGTCACTTCTGCCAGACAGGAGGTTGGTGCTGAGGAAAGCTGCAGTTGCCCATTCCCTCATCTGTAACATCAGGGCACAGACCCAGCGACGCTGAGACCCCTCTATTTTGCACATCATGTGACCATGCAGAGGAACCTAAGGTCCCACATGTTGCAGGAATATTTTTTTTCTCTGTCCCCCAAGAATTAATGGGCATATGGACGCTTAATATAGTTAGGATGGATGTTAAGGTCAATCACACAAACATGAGCTAATTCTATAATTGATTGGAAACTAATTAGGAACTCGAAAGAACATTTCTACTGATGTTGCTAATGACTCCAGCTAAGGCTGTAGCTGCAGGAGCTATTCCCAGCCTCTTTCACAGGCAAGGTAGGATTTCAATACCTCTCATTTCTAGTCCGACTTCTCCTGCTTTCTCCATTTAAGGCCTTCCTAGAAGATTTTGTTTGAACAATGAGTCCATGAAGAAACTATTTGGCTTATTCCTTCCCCAGGTGAGACACTGGAATGAGAGGAGTATGACCAAGTAAACTGACTCTGGCAATGTCTAGCCCCATGACCTAGGGCAGTCCAGCTAACTTCCCTGTCTGGCCCTGAGCAACCTCCTCTGTAAAGTGAACCAATGATCTCTTCCTTATAGAATTAAGTGATGAATGATTCACAAATCTGCATACAAAGAACATCAGAGATGGTGGTGGGGAGGCAGGCATGGAGTACTCCATCCAAATATGGCGGTATTGTATTTACTAGCCTCTTCGAATTTCCAATGAAGATGTAGAGCCCTCTGTGACAAAGCATAGGACAGCAGGGTAAAAACCAACTTAGATGGCTCAACACAAGCACACAGATAAGGAAAGAACACCAAGTCAGCATTTATAACAGCCCAAGTCAAGTATCAAGAGTTCATTTGGATTTTCTGAGACTCAGTGATATCAGCTGTCTCTGGGATTTTCTTTTTCACCAAAATTAAAAAAAAAACTTGAAAAGAAAACCAAGAAATAAATTATTTTGTTTGAACAAAATTACAAAACCTGGAATGACTAAAGGTAGTCATGTGCAATATGTCAAATCCATGCCCCGATGCAGATGGAGAACTGTTAACACTTAAACAGCTATGGAATGAATCACTCAATTAATTTCCCACATGCTGAAACAGGTAACAATACATTTATCTGCCAGCACTACACTCTCCGTATCATATATTTCCATAACTGTTAGCAATTTTACTCAGAATAATGGGAAATTAGTTGCACCTCCTTGGTTCAGGGAGAGATAGTGGCCTCAGGCTTGATACCATTCAAGTTGCTCAATGCAAGAGATTTGGGATATGTTCTGTGCTGGTCTCATTTGATTTTTCTCCTCCCCTTTGTCCTTAATGGCTTACGAAGAATGTGTAGCATGTTAGGCGCCAATAACTGAAGAGAATCTACTCCCTTAGGTTTCTGTGCCAGTATTTTTAACACAGAGGAGACAATGGCCTATGAGATAACCTCATAGTTCCACAGAGTCCCAGGGAGATGACAGCTCTCCAATGGGGTCATCAAGTACATTCCCCAACCCACTGATTTCCATCATGGACCCTAACTCCTCACACAGAGATAGCTGTGCACTTATTTCAAACACCTCCCTCTATCTGAGTCCCTGAAGTTGCACACTCTACCAGCTTCATTAGAGCTACCATTAGGATGTTTGCATATGTGGAATCCATGTATGTTCAGCTCATCAAGGGAAGGCCAACAAGCTCCACCAGGATGAGCTCTGGAGAGCTACATGGTGCAATACACATGGCAGCTGAGGAACACACTATGAGAAAGCACTGCCTTCCAACACAACAATGTCTCAGAGAGCTGCGACACTACAGTCTGCAACAGGAGAAAACCATTTCTCCCCAGAACCCCTTTGCTAGCAAGAGAGAAGACCCCCTCTCATGCACTATGGAAATTCTATCCATTCCAGACAAGGTCATTTGTCCAATACTATCTCCTTTGCCAACCCCAGGCCTTCAGGGGCTGTATTTTGGAAATTTGTTTAAGTAGGGAACCTGAAATAACCCCTGAAGTGTCACCATTGAAATGACTATGTGCTGTTTACTGATAAAAACAAAAAGTGCACAAGGAGTGAATCACTTTACAAACAACAAATCCTTAGATTTGGACTCAAGAAAGCTCAGTGCATACTTACATTCACCTTCCTGTAGACTGACAGGTGATCCTAGGCTGCTGTCCAAAGACATAGCAGGACACTGGCAGAGTAACCAGCACTGGCAGATGGATATCACCTATGAACAGTGGGGGATGGAGACAACTCACCTTGGGTTTCACCACTTTCATGAAGGCCCCTCTGACCAATGCCTCTTCTCGCTCTTGTCTGGTTACCTTCTTGGCATCCAGAAACTTTAAGTTGGGCAGCTTGTGCAGGACAAAACACCTGGAAGAGAAAGATCCAAGACAAATCAGGATGATTGGAGTGAGAATCTCAGGGGTTCAGGTACTTTGTCTGGTTTTTAGGAATTCCCATTATAGGGTCTGCAGGAGTTCAGATCCTGGTTGCTATGTTACCTCTATTCTTGCACAAAGGAAAAAAAACATCACTTCTTGGGACATTTCACAAACATACAATGATATGTTAGACATGCACATTACTGGCTGTGCTTGACTCACAAGTGGATACACACAGTCTCAAGCCTTTAAATTAACCACTGGAATGTAATCAATGTATTTATTTCTTAATGACCAGAACATGATCTCAGTCTCTTTGCGACACAGGAAAACCTCTGTAAAAATGAATCTGCAGTTGGCTTGTATAGTTCATGCCAGTGCCATTCCTAGGAGGCATCTGTGTCATTCTCATCTGTGAGATTACAATAAATGATCAATCTGCAGCTGAGACAATCGAAAACTTCCTGTGACTGGGGACAGTCAACTAGGTTGGCACAGCCTGGGTGACTTGGAGAAGTAAGGAACACAGGTGGCTTGGGAATACTTTCCTGAAGGATCAAGCTGAAGATCAGAGGAGTATTTTCTGTTCATCACTGGATTGTTCCCATACTAACCATATGAAGATAGTCTTTACCAAGGAGAAGGCAAAGGAGAGTTGGCTTCCAGGAGCCCTTCACTGCCTAACAAATGCTATGTGGCCTGAATTCCCTTGCAAATGCTCTTTGGCATTCATTATACTTCCAGGGATAAGCCAGTAGCTACTTTTGTGATGAATTATCTTCACACAGGTGTATATGGAATTGATACAAAAATGTTCGTGGCCAGGGTATAAGTTTTAAGATTAATAAAGAAAGAAAATGCATGTACATGTCTTGACTTCTCCCAGTCAGCAGTTCAGACATTTTCTGTCAGATGCTTATATTCCATCCATAAGCAAGCAATTGTTTAGATCCTATTCCTCTTAGGAAGAAGAACTAAGTACCCAATGTCAAGAGCAATGGCTTATCTCCCAAGGAATCAGTCACTTCTTTCCTGATCATCCACTCATCTCCCAATCCCCATCTGTCACAAAGCCTTCTTCTAAACTTCTAGAACACATTGCCCTCTCTTTTCTCCGTACTACTGAAGTCACATATCAACACTGGCCACTCTGAAATTATTTTTTAATTACAAGAACTCTTCAGCAGTTCGTGAAAGATACCTATCTTGAAAAAGGTATGTATGGATTTCAAATACTTCTGTACTATAATAAAATTATCTTTTCAACTCCATTTTTTAATGAAATCCAAGTAATTAATCTTATAACTTCATCTCATCACTATCGGCAAATTTATTTGCTTACTTTCGCTTGATCTTGAAAATAATCCCTAGGATGTACACAAGGGCATCCTAGTCCATTTCAGTTATACAAACACAGAGATGGTTCAAAAGTTCACAGAAGAGAAGAATTAAAAGATAATTATTTAGGATATAAATGCTGAAGATCTAAGCATATAAGATAGTCTTCACACAGTTCTTAAAAATGAATATTATGAGAAAACTAAGAATGGATCCCAAAAGTAAACACATTTAGCTCCATATTCCATGAACTTTTTAAAGTACTCCCATGGAAGGTGCTCAGAAAAGATGACATGATTCTTGGTCTCACATCAGTTGGCAATGTCAGGGTAAGACTCAGTAGCACAGAGAAATCAGAAGTCAGTATTGCTATATGTCTGGGGTTATGTAAAGAACAGCTGTGGTGGCACTGAGAAAAAGATCTATGCTATGCACCAGAGGACCACATACCAAAGAGACAAAGCAGAACAGGAAAACCCCAGAAAAGATTCAAATCCTAAAGACACCCCAAGTACCTAGCTTACTCAGAGCTACTTTGGGTATACCTCCTACTCTATGGAACAGCAGACTCTGAGCGCCAGGACCCTCTCTCAGAAGGCAATCTTATAACAGCAAGAGGCTTTTCTTAGCTTATCCAAGTAGAAGAGGTGGTTGGCAGATCACTCAAAAACCAGAGGCAAGAGTGTAGTCAGCTGCAGGCAAAAACTTTCCCATTGTTCACTGAAATCTGCTGAGGGTGTTGTCAAATTCAGTTTTCCTCCCCCAGGAAGGCCCATCCCATTGCGTGAGGGCCTCGAATTTGACTGCCTGATTCCTGCCACCTCCCCAGGTCTTCACCTAGGAAGCCTCCTTCCTGTTTCTCCTTGAAACCTCTCTTCAGTCTCTCCACTTGCCCCTGAACTCTATCCCCACATAGGAAATCCCCACAAAGGGCTTAGGTGCCCTTTCTATGCCCCAGCAGAACTTTCACCAGCCCTAGTCTGCAGGAGGAAGCCTGCACCTTCGGCTTGTAGCGGCAAAGTCTGGATGACAACAGAGTCTTTCAAATAAAGACGTGTACAGACAGAAACAGTATGTCAGGAGTGACGCTCAAAGGAGTAAAGACACCCACTAAGTGTAGGGTGGGAAAAGATGAATATTCAGGTGAAGAAAACATCAGTATTAGAAAATCAGCCAATGTTTAACGATGGAGTGAAAGATGCCTTCACAGGGCTGGCAGGAACCAGGATGACAACAGACCGCAGACTGTCATTTCGCCTCCCTTTGGATCACAGCCCTGAAATCAAAGGGAAAGCAGGGAGAGAGGTGCTGACTTTCAAGGTAGTTGAAAGTCTAAGATGACAAAGAGCTGCTGTTTTCTGTGCGTTCTTCCTACAGAGTAACAGAAACAGCTTACAAAGTAATTTTGGTCATCCCGACCTTCAAGGTAACTGGACTCCCCACCAGAAAAGTAACCTCAGTTCCCCGGAAGCCACCTAGAAGAGTTTGAGGGGTAATAGGAACACCTAGGCTGTTCATTCTGAGACTCCAGAGTCCTTCCTGTGGAATGTCTTCCTCCATTCCCTTACTCCACCTTCCACCGACAGCTACCAAGCAGCCCCCACCTGCCAGGTACTGTGCCGCTACCAAGCGTAAGCTGCTGAATACAGCAGCACGCTGTCTGCTCTCAAGGAGCTTCTATTCTAGCATGGCCACTCAGACTTCAGCAGTCATCAAGATCCCTTGGGGTCTTGCTAAAATCCACATCAGCCAGAGGGTTGGATTCAGGTGGTGTGTAACAGGACTTGGAATTTATGTTTCTAATACGTGCCCAGGTGCTGCAGCTGCTCCTGCTGAGAACCAATGTTTTGATGAGAATGACCCCACGAGGAATAAGTTTGGGAATTGTGAGTGTAGTGAGGCAGCAGGGCCTTGGTTCAGTCAACAGTCTGCCCCTCCACCATGTAAACAGTACACAAATACAGAGAGTGGTCATGTCCACCATCTTTCCTCTACCCCATACTGGCTTGGAACTAGCTCCAAACATTATTACTGAGTGATAAGTCAGTGGGCTTCCTGCCTGCTGGTGCCAGCCTGGTCTTGGGAGATCTATTTCCCTTTGTTCTAGGTCATGTCAGGGTGTCAAAAGCCAGAGCTTCAATCCTGAGTGTAACACAAGTTTGCCATAAAAATGTGAGAGGATTCCCGAAGCCACAGAATGAAGGCTTTTACAATATCAATTCAGTCCTTGTAAATTTAATCCAGGGTTATTTGTTGCACCAAAATCTCTTCACTGTGATGTATGACTTAGTTACTGGGGTTATCACAGCCGTATCCTAAAGTTGCATAGTACATAAAACATTTCAGTTAACAATGCGGGAAGGTTAACTCCCCCAGATAACCTGCAATCACAAGGGTAGTCCAGATGACAGCCCTCTGTCAGCCTCCACGAGCTATTGATGGTTCAATCAGTTTGTTTTGAAGGTAAAGTACAACAAAAGGGCAGTAAACTTATTCAGACTGTCAACAGGGGCTATCGGGAATGGGGCTTGTAGGTAAGTAATTCTGGGTGTTTTAAGGCTATTATCAAACAGCACTGGTTGAAAGAAGAGACAGCTACTAATAACACAGAAGGCAGCCATCATAAACCACTTTATGGCAGAAACCCCCGTCTATAAATCCTGTGACACCCACAGACAGCTTCAGATTTATAAAACTGCTTGTTAAGTCCGGGAATTGCTTAATGAAAAGAGATCCTTCTACATTCTGAGTCTCACGTCCCTAACTCCAGAGGGCAGCTCCAATTTTCCTGACCTTCTCAAGGTGGCAGGGGGGAATAGCGCTGCCCCTGAGGGGGGCATTGGTGGTGGTGGGACTCAGAACCTCTCCCATCTGTAACATAGACAGAGGCTGTTGATGAGGGAGCAGCGATCCCTGGCAGGCAGTGTTCAAAGATCCGTTTGTCTCAGCATAGAAATGGATTTCCTAAAAGTAAGACACCCATAGCTATTGAGGGTCTCTCTCTTCTCCTATAGAATGACCGTTTTCCTCCTCCAGGACCCCTCTTAACCTTTAGGACGAGGAAAAAAGAACACAGCCAGAAGGGTTTCATTTTGTTTGTTTTTCTGTTTGTGTGTTTGTTCAGAAACCAATTCTCTCTGCTCCATTCCTCGGGCTCTGGCATTTGTCAGCTTGAACTGAGAGAAGAAGATGTTCTTTCCTCTTGCCCACAACTGTTACCCCAGAGGAACTGGCTGCTCCCCAACAGCACTGCACAACCACACAAGAGCCCAGCTAGATCCGCACTGTCTGCTTCTATGGGGTTGGCTGCCATGTTTGTTAATCCATTGCCCCACTCAAGAAATATCAAATGTCCAGTTCTTGAACCAGGCAGAGTCACTGGAGATTTTTCTGCTTCTTTATGCTTATAGACTTCTATTGCTTCTTCACATTGCTTCTTGCTGCCTTCTTACTCCCATGCCTGGGAAGTGTGGAAATGGCACAAGTTACTAATCTCCTAGCTGGGGCCCTGGAAGGGATTCTTGGGTAAAATACCAACCAACCATGTTTTCCATCTTTTCCAAAGATTCACACCTTGTGGAGGGAAGATCCAAGCATGCATCAAGCTTCTCCACTCTTGACTGGGTTACAATTCCATGTAGTAACATGGGT